AGAAGAGGCCGACCCCCAGCTCACTACAACCTCCCTTCAGGAAGTTATAGAGAGCAATGAGGTCTCCCCTGAGCCTCCTCTTCTCCAGGCTGAACATTCCCAGCTCCTTCAGCCTCTCCTCATATGGCCTGTGTTCCAGACCCCTCACCAGCTTTGTTGCCCTCCTTTGAACACGAATCTACCTGGGGACAGGTAGATAGGCTGGGTGCAATAAAACATCCTACTGAGACAGGAGAGGGTGAGTTCAAGGCAGGGCTTAAGATGGTAAGGTTAGGAGAGCTGAGCAAACAGATGGCTCCTTGTCCACTTCTTAGTTTAATTATTTTTAACTAAAATGTCTGCAGTTGGCTCAGTGCATCTTGACTACTAAATAGATAAATAAAAACCCCATATTATAACTGAGCGATTTGGGGCAGGGAAACTAAATATAGTTGCTCCCACAATCTTCCAATTGGGACCTCTATGACCTATCTGTTAATAACAAACTGGAGATAGGAAACTCAAATCCACTGGGGAATTAAAATTGTGTAAATAATCTATCCACCTTTAATCTGAAAGACATTTCGTATATGTGGGGCTAAATATAAATAGGGCTGCTGTATTTTTTTCTATAAAACAAGATTTAAAAAGGGTTGAAGAAACATGAAGCTAATAAGATTTGGGAGCACCTTCTGCCCTTTTGTGTGAATAAGGAATTATTTACAGCACGTCTTGGAGGGCTGGCACAAAACCAGGTACTCCAAAAGAGTGGGGAAACCACAGAGGTTCTTATTTCCTTTGCTGGGTACGTATTAAAAGCAAGAAGGACTTTGTGTGGAGAAACTATGCTACCAAATGCTGGTTGTAGTACTGTATCAGTGCTGTATCGATTATCCTTAGCAGAAGTTGAAATACTTGCTGTCCAACTCATGCTCAGAAAATACCTGCTTCTGGCTGAGCGATTTTTGTTGCTCAGATCTCCTGCCCAGTTTTTCCAGCAAACGGCACACAAACAAGCAGCCCTTCACCCTTCCCACATCTCTGGCATTTCCCAAAGAGGAAGGACTTAACAGAAGTCATGGTTTCATAGAGCACATGGGGTTTGACTGAAGGGTCAAAGAATGACTCATTAGAAGAAAAGAAGGACTCAGTTTTAAGATCTGTATGGTCTGTAATAGCTGCTATCTTTCACTGTCAGCAAAGTCACTGGCCATACTGCTTGTAAAAGTTCATGCCCAGCTGCATATTTGCCTGAAGCAATTTTCTCTAACATGTACAGAACAGCAAAATTCAGACAGGTTTTTTTTGCTCTGAATTTCACATATGCATATGCTGACTCTCTCCAAAACTGAAGCCAGTACATCATTGTTCTCCATAAAAAGGAATGTGATACAATGACATAGGCATACCAAAATGGGTCAGAATCTTTTAATTCATGTTCAGTTTGTTCACTTCAAACTTCTTGGCTTATTTGGAATCAGTTACCTGGGGAATTTTAGGAGTCTCCATCACCAGAGGCTTTTAAGGTTTTTAAGGTGAGACAAACAACTATCAGAAGTGATGCCAGTGTGGTGCAGAGACGGGTGGAAGAGAAGGTGCAGTAGGTCCTTTCCTGCCCTATTTCTGTAACACTAATCAGAAAATCCTGACTTCCTGTTATTTTGCTAAAAGCTGGCCTGATTTTGCTCTCGTGCACAGATAAATTGATAATAACTGCTTAGGGCGGTGAGTCACATTCAGTGCATTAGATCAGAAGAGGGATTTTTGAAGGGAAAAAAACAAAACTGAAAAGCTACAGAAGGGAAGTGAGGTTCTAGCAGTACGTGGGCTGGCTCTGTGATACAAAGGGCACTTCTCAAACTGCTGTGCTGCTGATGTGAGAGCAAGAGATCGCTAGCTCACGTCAGCGGCACTTCATAGAAGCTAATGGCTTCAATATGGCTCAGTTATTTCTCTCACCTTTTCTGCCTCCCTCAACCATTTCCCCTTGAAGCAGTCACTTCCATGAGCGGGGGCTCTCCTCAGCCTAATGCTTCACACACAGTGTAAACAGGAAGCACCAAGTAGGTGGCCTTGCCCCAGTTTTAGAGCAATCTTAATGCTTTCACGATGTTAAGAGACTGATTCTGATCCCACTTCCCTAGATTGAGTTTATGGTGTGCATTCTTTGATCTCCAGGGAGTAATGCTGGGATAGATGTCGTAACAGGAAGCACAGCTCGGGCACCACTGCTGGTCTTTGGCATACATGGTAACGTGAGTGAGGCAGGGGACACTCTGGCATTGCTCCAGAAGTGTAAGCAGTGTTGGCACACTGCTCTGAACTGGTACACGCCTTTTCTGCCGAGCTATCCGAAGGACATGAGCGGTTCACTCTGCCTAGCATTGCTGGAAACCAGTACAGTCTTGCACTGTAACATAAACATGCTTCAGTTTTAACAGCTGGAAGCAGAGAATATTTTGATATAAAGCTTGTTGATGTGGAAAGTGGACTCAAAATAACTATTCCAAACTTGCTTATAGGATAGGAGTTTTTTTCGGAATAAGTAGACTTCAGTCTGAGTATCTGATCTGCTGGCAATCGATTCCACGTGGCACACTTGTATTTTAGGGTAAGTGCTCTCACGTGGGAAGAACATCCAGACTCAGCACTGAATTTTGAATTCACAATCTGCTGCCCTCCAAATTAATTTCCATGTATACCCTAGCCCTTATGTGTGGACAACCCCACAGATGGTATAGTGAGGTCTTTCTGTTGGCATGTATGTCTTCAGATGAGAAAAAGTCTGCTTGATTCTGCCATAGGAATGAGTGACCCAGTCATCCAAGGCCTTCTATTTTGGATGACCTAGAGGTTGTAGCATAGGCTGACTAAGCTGTTACTGAGAGCTGCAAGGATGATATCAAGTTGACATCTGCCAAGGGCATTGATACAGCTGATACAGACACAGGGTACTGACAACCTGAGTGCAGATTTCACAAAGTAGAAAAGATAAGAAGGAGAATTACGAGTGGATTAGGCCTTTGACATTGGATGTACATACTAAGCTGTGCAGCCACAGAATATCTTCATGCTGTATATAAACAATTGGATATATACAGTTGTTTACACCTCCCTTAATGTCCCACCCTCCCGAATCATAGCCAAACTGTGTGTGTGTCTGCTGTATTTAAAAGCTATGTTTGAAAATGTTAACGCAGTGTCAGTGGTTGCAAAAAACAGCAGATGTATTATATTGTATCATCTTTACTTTTATGGTCTAAGCCTACTTTATTGCAAGGCTTTAAGAAACAGACATTGCTTGCATTAAAAATGTAGGACAGGCAGGCACTGAAGCTAAAAAACCAGTCAGTTGCACACATTCCAACTAGACCATTTCAGAGTGCCACAAATCTCAGACTAATAAGAAGACAATTCATAGCTGAGCAAGAATAATTTCTGAGTGTTGGCTATCTAGAGCATAAATAATGTGTTTTGTACCGTGGAAGTCAGCACATACAATAGTCAGAGGTCTTCCATTGAAACGGTGCCTAATTTGAGATCTGTGTTGTTAACTCCTTCAGTGCTATCCTGATTTCTCATCTAACTGCCAGATTCAAAGGGAATAACACACTGTGCTTCCACAGTGCTGGAGTATCTTCTTGCGTTATGTACAGTATCTTCAAAAGCAAATGATGGGAAGACAGTAGCTAAAAGGCACCAAATAATGGCACCTTATGTCTGCAGGGAGCTGCTGGAGAGGAGGGCCACAGAGATGATCAGGGGACTGGAGCACCTCCCCTGCGAAGACAGGCTGAGGGAGCTGGGCTTGTTCAGCCTGGAGAAGAGAAGGCTGGGGGTGACCTCAGTGCAGCCTGCAGTACCTAAAGGGAGCCCACAAACAGGAGGGGAATCAACTCTTGGAAAGGGTAGATAACTGCAGGACAAGGGGAAATGGTTTTAAGTTGAGGGAGGGAAGATTGAGGTTGGATGTCAGGGGGAAGTTCTTTACTATGAGAGCAGTGAGGTGCTGGAACAGCTGCCCAGAGAGGCTGTGGATGCCCCATCCATCCCTGGAGGTGTTCAAGGCCAGGTTGGATGGGACCCTGGGCAGCCTGGGCTGCTATGAAATGGGGAGGTTGGTGGCCCTGCCTGTGGCAGGGGGATTGGAGCTTCATCATCCTTGAAGTCCCTTCCAACCCGGGCCATTCTGTGATTCTGTGATTCGACAGTCCCAGATTTGAAAGTATTTAGGTTTCAGACTACCTCAAACTCAGTAGTTCACGTGTACATACCTAATGCATACCTAACTTCCTCATGCACGGGTACAGAAAGATAACTGAATTTTTTCTTGGACGTGTGCTGTGAAAGGATGAGATACAAAATGAGCACAGGTTGCAGCAAGAGAAATTCCAGTTAGGTATTAGGAAGACATGTTTAACCACCAGTGTCATAAAGCACTGCAGGAAGGGCACAGAGGGCTTGTGAAATAAATACCCTTCAAAACATGACTGGACAAGATCCTCAGTAACCTTGTCTAGTTTAGCCCTGCTCTGAATGGGAAGTTGCACAAGATGCCCTTCACAGCTTTCTCCCCACGTTTTGTGATTCTAAAATATATAATGATGCATACTTTAGGTAAATGTAGAGTCCAAAATAAGTCTGAGAAACTGAAATTCAGTTGCTCTTCCCAAGAGATTTTGTGTAAACTTAAAAGTCATCCATAATATGTTGCTATCAAACAGAAATGTTTCAAAACCGTATTGATATAAACAAGGCAAGAATCAGTTTTTCAGCTGTTAAGTAGCTAATTTTCACAGCCTGTAGCACTCATTTCTCAAATCTGCAGAACAAAAAAAAAGTTTGTAAGAAAAAGAAAGAAAGGTTCCAGCCTCTTGAGTGAACTGAAGAGGAGGGGTTACCTGGAGCACTGTGCTCACTCTTCTATAGAGGAGTTAAAACAAAGGGCAGTAGTACAGCTAGAGATGGAGACATCAGAAATACAAAGAAATAGAATTACAGCAAAGGGAAAACTAATTTAAAAAAAAAAAAGCTTACCATTAGAAAACTTCAAAATTCTGTCCAGAACTGCTTTTCAAACACAAATGTGCCAGCATCCCCAGGGAGAGGCTTCCCTGCTGCACCCTCAGCAGCTCTGGCTTTACAGCACCGCTGCTCGTCTCCTTTCAAGCTCTGCATTGTAAGCTAGGATTTAGCCCTTCAAAACATATCAGCAAAGTCTTTGTGCACGAATCCCTTTTTTGAAGCTAGTGCTGTATTCCAGCTGTAGACTGAGCTCTCACGAGTGACTGTAGCTGTGTTTGGGCTGCTGTTCTGTAAAAAATTCTCCCATGGGTTAGAAACAGTACACAGGAATTAGTAATCACAAATAGTAACAGGCAAGTATATTGTTGGCATTTTTTAACTTACCAAATCCGTTTCTTTTCTTCTTATAGCTTACCTTCAATCTAATCAGGTCATGGGCTGGGGAGAGAAGGCGATTGAACTGCGCTCTGTGGAAACAGGGAATCTGGAAGGAGTATTTATGCACAAGAAAGCGCAGAAGCTAAAATTTCTATGTGAAAGAAATGACAAGGTACTGAGATGACTGCGGTGTGTTGGCTGAAACAAAAACAACTAATAATAAGACTAAGACCATTCAGTGTTTTAACTGCATATTTACGTTGGTTATTTCTCACCTTAACACGTGTGGACATGTGAGCCCACAAAGCAGTCTCTGGGGATATTCCACTCGTGGACACAGCCCTGCTTTATCCAGAGGTGTTACGACTGCTTTCCACATAGTTTTCACTGATTTTGAAGGCGATAGCAAATACGGACAGTTTAAACTGGGCAGACTTGGGCAAAGCAAGTGCAGTGGGCAGCCTGGGAGCCAGCACTGGTAATGCCCAAAGCCAGGACTGCCCTCCTGTGCTGCCGAAATGGCATACGTGCAGAGCAGCCAGCAGTGTCCAAACAGACTGACACACCACCAACAAAACAAAGCCACAGAACACTCTCTGATACTGCAGGCACTAGAATATGTATGGATAATCAAGTAGCATTTCTTGCATGTGGTATTACAGTGATTGATAAATACTATCTGAAACCTGTTTAGAAAAACTAGTCCCCCAAATTGCTTAGCTTCTTTTAACCAGTGTTGTTCTGATTTTCCAAATAGAATATACCATATATTGCTGGCTGTAGCACAAGTTTCATTTTTAGAAGTTCCTCATGGAATCAACATTGAGTTGTGATTTCTATATCCTTACACTTGAGACTCTGGTGTTCTCTAAGATTTCCTGTATGGGTAAAAACATTGTTGTAAATGTAATCTGGCAATAACCTCTCTTTTTTTTCCCTCCCTTTCTAGGTGTTCTTTGCATCTGTACAATCAGGAGGCAGCAGTCAAATTTACTTTATGACTCTTGGTCAAAATGTACTATTCAACTGGTAAATTGCATCAGAATGAAGGATGCTTTGAAGTTCCCTGTAGCTAGCTGTGTAAAATGCTTGGAGGTAATACGTATGAATTTGCACTTTTTACCTACAAAAATCTTGTCATTATTATCAAAATTCATATTCTTGCAGTTTGGAAAGAGTTCTATTTTCCTGTCAAAATCTTGTAAACACATTTAGCTCATCTTCTCAAACACGTCGCAAGCAAAGACTGTATTCATAGTGTTAGGAGAGAGCAAGTTTAATGAAGAATGTATCCAATATAACAAGCTCCTGTACTCTGGTGAGTGCACAGTTTCTTTTATTACAGATAATCTAATGTTATCATCTCTCTTTTTCAGACAGCCACATCTCTATATAGATACAAAAACACAGGTTGGATGGCAAATCAGAATCTGTTTTGAATTGGTTTTTAGCTTGTTATGTATTTTAAGCAAGTCGTTATTGCTTCATGAGGACTTGCTTGTCTGAGTCATCAGTGAAAGAGCAGATCTTCATGAAGGGGCCTGATGCAGTTCAGGGTGCAGAGGGCTCGTGTCCTGTGGCCGAGAATGGGTGTTTTTTCCTGCAGCTGTAGAGGCAGCTGCCTGCAGCCTCGTGCCCTGCGTGGTGGATCTTACAAAAGGCAGGGAGCAGACTTTGTGTTTCTCTCAGGGCTGGAAGCCTGAGCCAATAGACACAGTTACTGTAGAACGTATTTGTAAAAACAGTCTGAACAGAAGTTTGTCTTAATCATATACGCAGTACGGAGCAGAACTTGGAGCTTTTACTCAACCAAGGGACCCACACTCGTGGGAGTTGATTTAAAGGCACTACCTGTGTACATAAGCCACAGGATTAGGCACCATCTTTTCTTCCTTGCTTGCTCTTTTAGCAACAAGTCTTCATGTATTTGTATGTAAATATAATCTTTCCAAAATGGATATTAACAAATGTATTCTGAATATAGTTATGAAAATATCCAAAGAGTTAATCTATTATAAATAGAAAATATAAATAATTTCAGGTGCTTTCTATGCTAATTGCATCAAAATAAAGCTGCATCCGCTAGCGTTATCAGTGCCAGTGTTTCTGCATAAACTTTGTTCTCAGGGGCATGTAACTTGGCCATAAAACTATGCAGAGGTTCTGTGATGAAGTCGTAGGGTTTGATGCAGTCATCATTTAGCTCATTTTCAGATATGCTTTGAGAGTGTAAAGCATCAAATGTAACACGAAAGAGCTTATTCAAGACATGCAGTATGGGTGACGCTGTAGGCAAAAGTGGAATTGATAGCTACAGTGTTTGGAAGCAGGCGTTTTATTACTTGAAATAGGTGATACTGAAAGGTGCGGGGAAAGCATATTGGAGTATCTCTGGTGTCTACCTCAAGGATGATGATACACAATTTACTAAGGGGAGAAGTGAAGTTGTTAAAACTGGTAGCCCTTTTTTTACAGCGTGTCAAGCTAAGGCAGTGTCAGCAGTCGTTTGTGACTGACCGGTGCTCAGAGCGCGGCCGTCAGCTCCAGCACTGCTGTCCTTGTACAGAACTGCAGCGCAGAATCAAAGCAGCGAGTCCTCGGCCCTTCCCGCAGTGGCTGTTGTGCTGCTGCAGGCAGAGGGGAGATGCCTGCACCACTGCTTGTCCGTGTTCCTTGGTTATGTGGAAGCCTGCACTTTCCGAAGTTGTCGACCTAGCCCTTCCCATGAGCACTAGCTTATCTCAAAACGTATAGTGGTTTTTATGAAGTATTTTCCTCTGCAGTGCTTTAACTTAGAGAAGCCTAAGCCTTGCTAGAGTACACGTGCAGTTAAAGTAAACTTAAATGCAGGCAAGTAATCTGCTTGTGTGCACTTAAAATCCAAGCAGTGGGCAAAGCTGCATGAAACAGGTCTCTGTCTCTGATATTCCTACCTGGTGTCTGTGTCAGGGCCGTGTTTTTTACCTGGCTCTTTGCTACTGAGCACTGCGTTTATTTTGATCAATTTTTACCAAAAACAAACAAACAACAGCGAGAGAACAGAAACAAAGATGAAAGTTACAGGGAAAAGGAAAAAAAAATTACAATCAATCAGAAATATGATTTACTTGCTTTTACTTCCAATAAAAAGTCTAAGAAAACTGTGAAGAAAGAACACCTTTCATTTCCTACCCAGTGGGTGTGCAAAACTTGCTTGCAAAACTGCTCTTGCCGTAAGCAATCAGTGACCCAGGCTGCTCGACAGTATTTTAAAGTGTGCTTATCACAGCAGCCTCCGCATTACATGGCAGGCATATGAATTACTCCCCTCCTCCCACGTTGGTGCCAACAGGTAAGGAGCAGATCTTCTTGGTGCTTGGCCCTTGTTTGAAAGGATTTAGCAGAGAACAATGGAAATTTAGGCCATCCTGCGCCAAGGGGCTAAAGAAGCAAAATGCCATCAAACTTGTTTAATATTACTGTAACAGCAACGTGTGACAGTAAGAGGATACTGTGTGAAAATGTTTAGCTCCACATCAGGAAATAACCAAAGCGAGCTTAAGAGAAGGAAGTTGTGCTACTGCATTAAGATTTGAATCTCTCATTCTGCTTCCTTCTGTTAGTCCTTTTCTTTTGAGCTGATTCAAGTCAGTGGATTGGACTTTCACTTTTCACTTTGCATGTAAAAACACTGAATTACTGAGTTTACAACCACCTGTAAATATGGAAAAAATCAGGACCTTAGAGGTGAATGCTTATAAAGGATTTAGAAGCAGTATTCCGAATAATAATGGCAGTTGGGTGTAACAAGAACGTGGTATTTCCTCTTTATCAGAGAAAAAATTAGAGCGGGTGAGGATGAGAAAGAGCCCAGAGATGTTGAAAAGAGTGTGTAAGTGAGAGTGTAAGTGGCTGAAGAGGAAGGAGAAGCTGAAGAAAATGAACAGGAGTAGCCAGAGGGAGGCAGTGGATGTCTGGACCAGGGTAGTGCTGTGGGAGGAATGAGAGGTTACGAAATGTTACAGAAAGTAACCAAAGTATCTGGAATGGCTGGGTGGTCTGAACACTGAATGGCAGCGATCTGAGTGACTGCAGCTTAAAGCAAAAGTTCAAAGGCTCAAGATAAAAAAATTCCAGAGCCCCAAGGTTTTCCTGGCATAAATTTAACTATGCAAAATGCATATCAAATTTTGTATCGTTTTGTGAGGAGTTTCTTTAGCGGAAAGTTAGTGGAAATACCACTAACTTTTGATACCAAGGAGAGAACTGCTGAACTAAGTATGGTTTTCCAGCAATGTCTCTTCAACCCAACGCTCCAGGGACAGAAGGGCAGAACATTACAGCTTCATATCAGTGTTCCACTGGTACATGCAGTATTCTAATGGCAGGTGGTGCTCCTACCATTGCGTTTGCCCTAACGAGTCTGCACTAATACTGCATCAAGGTAGCAGTACTGTATGTGCCTGCTTTAATTTGAAGAGCAGTGAGCTCTGTTCTACAGCCTGAACCTCAGCATACGACTTCAAAACAGGGAACAACGCAAGCTGTGTACTGTACATCATGTATGTGGGTTTTTTGTTGTTCCCTAATGTAAAACCGAAACTAATAAAAAACTGCTTTGAAAATCAAAACTATCATTGGTCTTGTTAGATTCTGTTACATTGGCATAAGCTATTGCAGAAGTCATAGAAAGTGTTGGTTTGTTTTCCAAATCCCACGAGTATGGCTATTTCTGCCTGTATCTGCCCATAGACATGAAATAATACACATCCTTGGAGGGGGTAAAGATATTGAGGAGACAGTGAGAGTTCAGACTGCACAGAATGTGAGTAAGAGTGAGAGCCAGCACTGTGCTGTGTGTTACTAGCGAGCTTTAGCAGTGAGTTTCTGTGCTCCTGCCTTCCTCTTGCACAAATGCCCAGTGGAACTGGAGAGACACAGCAGCTTGCAGACACCTGGCACTGCAAGAACTGGTTTTGTGTTCCTGTATCAGCCTGAGGGCCTGGTTAGTCCATTCTTTTTCTTAGGCATGCTCACAGAGTCTTCATTGCAGCACATGAAGTGTACTGCTATATCTGAGCCGTGAGCACATCGTAGCTCTGTCACTTCAGAGTGAGAATTAGGAAATTTTCCATTTATGCCAGCGTTGGTGTTGGAAAGGGCAAGGGCAGAAGGGGAGATTTCTCCAGAATATTTATGATGGAGATGAGTGTCGTTCATCCATGTTCCGTCTCCTCCATGCTAGCAGAGCACGCTGCCTCCAGCATTCAGTATATGGAATGGACTCTGTATTCTAAGTTTAACCATGGTTGCTTGCTTGAGCACTGAGCTTAGTTTACCCAGTGTTCGTAGCACCAGAAGTTCTTTCTGAGCTTCAGTCATACAGTGCACCAGGATTCTTCCACACCAGTAACTCCAAATGAGTTTCCCTCCCCAGCACAAGAAACATCAGGCTTCAGTTCTAGTGCTGTTCTGCCTGAACAAGTGCTTCCCTCTGCTATTTAATTTCCTACTCCCAGATCAAAAATGATTGCATTATGAACAGGGAAGCAATTCTGGGATTCCTCCTTTGCCTGCACCAATAACTCTGCTATAAAGGAACTGCAGTGATTCATTTATGCATTGTTAGTAGATTTGGAGATGTCACTAATATTGAAGAAAAACATCTTGAAATAAGTGTTATGGGTTTTTTTTTTTGTTTTTTTTTTTTTTTTCCTGGAACAACTGTGAAAAACCATGTAGTTCTCAGCCCCAGATATGCATAAAGACTTTCAGGTGCTGACCCAAGCATCGAATGTTTCAGAGGTGTGGCTGTGGTTTCCATCTTCCACATCAATTACCAGACTTTCCCCTCCCCCTTAGCTGACATTGTTCTAAGATGGTTCTGTGTACTAAGGGCAGTATTTGTCTGGTTCGTGTTAGTTTTTACAAAAAGATGAACAAATTTCTCCCTTCACAAAAACAGATAAACAAGCAGTCTTTCGTCTGAAAGTTTCAGGAACAAGAACTTGAAAACTAGTCAGCAAACTGCTCTTTGTAACTTCTGCCATTACTGTGAAAATAGCAGCTCTTTTGCCATTCCTATTAACACTTCCGCATTTTTGCCTAGTTATAAATGTACAAATAAATGCTGACATGTACTCACTCTGGGCTGTTGTAAAAGATGACCTCCCTGAGACCTGGCAGGCACGCTGCCCCAGCCTGAAGGGCCTGCTCCTAAGTTTCCCAGCTGCTCCCGCTCTAGGCTTGGTGTGCACACCCCAGCCAGAAGCCAGTACTAAAGGTAGTGTGAGAAAGGAAACCCAAACTGATCACATCTGAACAAGTGATACCTGCTAGAGGTCTGCAGCCAAACTGGACAAAATGCCCAGGGATGTCAGATGACAGTAATATAATCAGAGCAAATATAGGTAATCCCAACTCTAACCTGCAAGGATTAGGTTTGGGAGTTGGGTTACCCTGCCTAGTCAAGCAGTAAAAAGATTTTTGTCTCCTTTGGATCCATGTACTAAGCAGATCCCTATAGCAGGTGCTACAAGAAATGACACAGGGACCTCCATTGAAAAAAAATCTGCCCTCCTCCTCCGCTAATGCTCAATGGCATGAACCGACTGATGTGCAGGTAGGAGTGGTGAGCCAGAGTCTGGAGAGTACTGTCATCTCCTCCTACCCTTATACAGGAATATGCTGTGGTAGATGCTAACGAAATGAAAAGCAAACTGGGCCCAACTCTGGCACTTGTCTGTGAGGCAAATCATTACAATTCAATTTATTTGCAACAAAGTAATATTATCCATGATCCTCTCCTGCTCCCCACCCAGGTGTTCCAGGGCAATACTGCTACAAAAATTGGTTGCAAGCTGCTAGAAACTGAGCACACAGGAGCAAGTTCCAGACTCCATCCATATACTGATTCAGGTGACACAGCTTCTGGCATAAAAGCAAATCATAGAAGAGGTGCACACTGGATTCTGAAACAGCTCTCTGACATCAGTAGATAAGACCAGGCCTTTTCTTGACCTTTCTTAAGGTAGCAGTCAAGATTAATAGCGGAGTTACTTAGTGCCCTTCTCCTAAGTCTGCATCCTTTGTTTCATGCTGTGCATGCTGCAAGGTACTGCACATTTCAGTATCAGTGTCCAAAAGCAATCCTGAGAAGGTCATCAGGTTCTGTTAAACAAAATTACCAACCATTTATTTAGAATCTGTGGGGAAGGGAAGGCATTAGCAGGCACTAATAACAGACAAACAAAAGAGAGGAAATTCCTCTCCCTGGAAAGAAACACCCTGCCTTAAGAACCCTTCAAACCTATTGTGACTGCTTATATTAGAACTGTGCTGATAAACATGTATCCATGTTGAATATAAAGGCATAGATAAAATAATTTCTGTGACAAGATAACACTTCTGCAAATAAAGTTATGCAAGCCTCGGGTTTGGAGGTTGTGTCTCATACTATTAAACCAAAATATCTTCTCTCGTGTGCTCTGTACTTTGTACAACCAGGCAGTGACACAACTACACAGCAACAGTGCAAACTGCCCAGCATCCAACAGCCTGTAAGCTCCTTTCTGCTACTTGTTGCTTCTGGAGCTCACCCAAAATGACATTGTAATTTTATTTTATACTAGAAAGTACTTTGTTACAAGCTACCGCACTGTTTTGGAATTAATTTTTTTTCTCCAAAGACCATCATAAAGCTGGATTACAACCTCAGTGTCAGGTCTAGACAGCTGGATTTAAGTGAAACACGAGCAGTGCAGTGAGTTCACGGCCCACCAGCAGAACAATCTGCCTGCTGGTCATCTGCTGCTTTACTGAGCTGCTCCTCAAACGCACAGGGTTGATTAAAGGGCAAGAGCACGTCTTCTGGGCAATCGCCTCAAAAGTTATGTATTATTTAATCGTTCCTGATTATTGCACAGATTGGGTTAACAAAAGGAGCTAAGAGGTAGCGATGAAAAGCACTGGAAAGGCTGCTTTTTGTCAGAGCGCTCTGTGACAAGCAACTGCGTTCCGCAGTGAACTCGGCGATCCGGTGCAGCAGATAATTTACTTCTAAACCCGCAGCATCCCCTCGCGTGCTTTTCATTTCTGTATTAAACGCAGTGCTAGCTGGACCTCTGCTGGCGAGAAAGAAGGAAAGAAAGCAGGACGGAGTCAGCGCAGCAAGGAGCCATCACCGATCTCACGCCGCACCGCCGCTCGGCGCCGTCAGCCGCAGCCACACGGCCGCAGGTGCAGCGCTGCCCGCGGACGCGTCCCTCACGGCCGGAGCCGTGCTCGGGGCGCGATGGCGGGAAAGGCGCCCTCACGCCGCCCTCTCGCCGCCCCCGGCCGAGCAAGCCCGGGCAGGCCCCGCGCCGCCGCTTTCCCGCCGTACCTCCCCCGGCGACCGTTAGCGGCGTCGCATGGCAAGCAGCGCGCGCGCGCAGAGCCTCGCCCCGCCCGCCCGCGCCATAGCGGCGCCGCGGCTCCGCCGCTGACGGGAGCGGGCCGAGCCCGCCGCCGCCTCGCGCCGCCGCGGCCCCGGGCGAAGGGGCCGC